CGTTGGCCGAATGGTCGCAAGTGCGACTGCCGAGCAAAGGGTCTCGGGTTCGATTCCCGGGTCGGCAAAGAATTACTGGGTTTTTAAAAAAATCTCAGTAGTAGCACGGAGTCTGGAATTGTGCCCGGTATATGTAATAGGTTACATGGGACTCCTAATATAAATAGTGAAAAGTGGGTGTTACATTGTACAGTGGCATAATGTGTACCTCTGCCTACCTCTTCGGGGGTAAAAGGCGTGATGTTATGTTATGTTAATTCCAAGAATTCCTTAAACTGTCAAACACCGCGAGGACACCGGTGACCGCAACCTATTGTTCTTTAATTGTGTCTATAATGACGGCACTCAAAGGCTCGAATGGGCCGGCTCGACCGGAGTTACCATGATACCAGATATCACGGTCTCACATATACATACGTTAAATCTTTTATTTATTTAGACACAACATAACATCACGCCTTTTATCCCCGAAGGGGTAGCATAGTCATACAGTATAACAGTTACTTTTAACTATTTATATTATGAGTCCTTTTTTTATACATTTGATGGGCCGACGTTTGACCACTATCTCGCCTGGTGGTAAGCGATGATGCGGTCTACGATGGAGCACGTCGTCCCATAAGCAACCTATTCACTCGAGCCTTGAAGACTCCCAGGTTATACCCTTCAGGAAATAGACTCTGGCAAAGAATTCCACTCTTTAGCAGTACGCACAAGGAAGCTTGAAGCGAAGCGCTTCGTGCGTGTGGGCGGAACATCCACAACAAGTTCCATGTAATAGGGGGTGAGCCTTTCAAGCTTTGGACAAATTTGTACTTCTGAACTTCACTCGGTTAAATGACATTACTATTGGTCGAATACCTACATAAAAATTTTCATTTTTCCAATCGTTATACTCAATAAAATATACAAAAACAACACGATTTTACACCTTAATACTAACAAATAAGGTTTGTTATCGACAATATCGTTATTTTAGCTCATTCTGCTACCTACTTTATTACTTATCTACACTCGTTGATATTTACTTGTGTATTTTCTTAGAACAATTGATTCTTTCTGAATATATTATCTTTCGAAGAAACTGTTTGATTCATAAATTGTTCCGGTTTTTATTAAAGGAAATGACAGGTTACTTTTTACTTTCGTACCTACATCTAAGTGTGGGAGAGCCATGCTTGAATGGGCCGGCTCGACCGGAGTGATACGGCCGAGCAGAAAACCGACGTGAAACAACCACAGCGTTGTGTTTTCGTGTGAGTGAGGTTACCGGAGGCATAATTAGTTACCCCTCCTTCCCCAATCCCTGAATCCCCAACAATCCTCAAATGCCTAATCCCAAAATGCCGGTAACGCACTTGTATAGCCTCTGGTGTTCCAGGTGTCCATGGCCGAGCCGATTACTTACCGTCAGGTGATCCGTCTGCTCGTTTACCGGCTTATACCATAAAAATATACTTACTTATTGCTTTCCCATAACATAACATCATGCCTTTTATCCCCAAAATGTAGGCAGAGGTGAACATTACGGCACTTAATGCCACTGTACAATGTAACACCCACTTTTCACTATTTATGTTATGAGTCCCATGTAATAGGGAGTGAGCCTATTGCCACATACCATGCACATTTCCAGACACCGTGCTAATACAAGTTATTTTTTAAAAAACCCAGTAATACTTTGCCCTATCCGGGAATCAAACCCGAGACACCTTACCTGGCAATCGCATGTGACCACTCGGCCAACGAGGCAGTCAGTTATTATTGCTTTCTTCGATCAGGAAAAGAGGGTTAGGCTTACTGGGGCTCCGGCTCGAAGTGCAGGAGTAGGAACGGGGTGGTTTTTAGTCAGTAAGAGTCTGACACTCCCTTCCGCCTCACCCAGGAGGGAGAAGTCATTCGATGATTTTGCTGGCTTAAAAAAAACTCCCTATATATTTCTTTAATAAGTTTAATCACTTATTAATGTCCTTTAAATGAGTCACAATACATGTTGACTGTATTTATTTCCTATTTTATTGTCTTATCGATTTCCGGTGGCGTACCTACTAAAGTATTAAATGACGTCAAAATATCGCAATGATTTCTTGGTACTTTTTGATTACTAATATCATCTATAGACGCGTTTAACAAAGACCAGCTTGCAATCAACATCATCATCATCATCAACAGCCTATAAGTGTCCACTGCTGACCAAAGGCCTCTTCTCACACGGAGGTTTGAGCATTCATCACCACGCTTGCTCAATGCGGGTTGGCGATTTCAAACTTATGATTAGAAATTAGAGGTATAAGCCCAGGTTTCCTCACGATGTTTTCGTTCACCGTTTGTCAGTGGTGTCTAAATAATCTTAGAAAGTACATACAACTCGGAAAAAGTCACATTGGAACTTAAGTGTGGGAGAGCCATGCTTCGGTACGAATGGGCCGGCTCGACCGGAGTGATACCACGGCCTCACAGAAAGCCGACGTGAAGCAACGCTTACGTTGTGTTTCGCCTTGTAAGTGAGGTTACCGGGGCCCAATTACCCTCCCCTTCCCTAATCTCCCCAATCCCTGAATCCCCAACGATCCTCAAACTCCTAATCCCCAAAAGGCCGGTAACACACTTTTAACGCCTCTGGTGTTCCATGTGTCCATGGGCGACGCCGATTGCTTACCATCAGGTGATCTGTCTGCTCGTTTACCGGCTTATACCATTTGTCTTAACCTCTAGGCCACCACGATGTCACATTGTGACGAATATAAACAGATATTTATAACACAAATGTTTATGAAAGGATCTAAATATTTGTATATTCCTATGTACCTACTCTGTAATCTATTTAAAAAAGATAATGTAAGTAGGTATGTATAAAGAAAGATACTTTAATTGCATAAACATGTAAAGGTGTCCATGGGCGACACCGATTGCTTACCATCAGGTGATCCGTCTGCTCATTTACCGGCTTATGCCATAAAAAAAACTTGCCGTTGGTAGGTTTCGAACGCACCCTCATGCATGAGAAGCGGGCGTCTTCGTAATGCTGCTTGATAAAACTGATACCTTTTAAATTGACATCTCTAATCCCAAGTGTGGATAATACGGTCTTATGTAGAGTCATAGTCTAGTTAGAGCCGTATTATCCAACTGCTAAAAGAGTAACTGCAGCGCACAAAAAATTAGAGGCGCCTGTAAAGTTCTTTTTTAGGGACAACTAGAGGGAACCAGATCACGAAGGCAGCTCACCTGGGCGCTGGACTGATCAGTCATTAAAAAAAGCCTTTAACTTCCGTTAAAAAATGTTAAAGGCAAATCTTCCGCTAGCGTCAGACATCATTGTCCGACATCATTGGCGTCATCATCATCCAATGCGTTAAGACATCCGTCTTTATGTATTTACTCTATCAGGAAATAATACAAGTCGTACGTATTACGTACATTTATTATATGCTAATCTGAACACCGATCTCTTGACAATTCATGATGATCGATGAATTGAATACTGCAGGTAAAATACGTATGTACGTACACGGCCACACATCAATCTATACAAAACCAGTTTATCCTGGTGTCGCGTCGCATCATCTTTCCGCACATTTAACGTTCAGTTTATACTGGTTATGTAAAGCTCGATGTGTAGCCGTGTGTACGTACGTCCAACGTAAATTGTATTTGATAAGAACCAAAGTCAGTGAGAGGGCATTGAAGACGGTTATTGAAAACCTACCTTATTCGTTTGTCGAGTGGTTGCCAGGGTAAAAACAACATGGAAGTTTCGGGAGGTACCTGGTCTGATGGGGCGTGAGGAAACGCCCGGGTGTCATCACTGCGAGGACCGCCCTGAGGACACGGTGGAACACACAGTGGGAGAATGCCCTGCGGGGGCTGAGCACCGCCGTGCCCTCAGGGAAGTGATCGGCGATGGCGACCTCTCGCGTCCGGGCCTAGTGCAGGCCATGATGCGGAGCGAGGGGGACTGGGATGCCGTCTCCTCCTTTTGCGAAGCAGTCATGCTAGCTAAGGAGGAGGCGGGACGCGTGAGGCAGCAAAGCGCTCGCAACCCAGCCATCGCTAAGGACACACCGGGCGTCGGGGATCGCGAGACGATCTCCGGCCGCCGTAAGCGCGGGCCTTACGACTTAAAAACAAACGAAGCCGCGAAAGACTAACGGAGCCGCGGAGGACTTAACAGGTTGCCGGGGCTTTAGCTCAAAGTTCAGGAGTAGGAACGGGGTGGTTTTTAGTCAGTAAGAGTCTGACGCTACCTCTCGTTTACTCGGGCGGGAGAAGCATTTGGATCATTTTTCGCCCTAAAAAAAAGGCTGACGATAAAGTCAAAGTTAAAATAATTTATTTTCAATTAGACAAGGAAGGCACTTTTGGAAGTCAAAAAACAAATGTAATATCAGTATCGTCAGTCAGTCCTCTAGTTGCTCTATTTGCTCATTTCAAAGTGTGTTCCGTATGTGGAAAAATGAGGTAGAAACTTCATAGTAAATCTTTTTTTATCAGGTATTCCTCGCCACAAATTAACTATTTATCTCTCTTTTTTAATTATTACATTATTATAGTATAAGTATTACAGCTCTGAATTAGATACATGCATGATGATCCATTGTGTAACTGCCTGAATGACTATCCATTCATACATAAAATAACCTATATCACATACAAACCAACCTTCAAAAGCATGAACTTTATAAGAGCGATAAATCCCATAAAAAATATGTAGATAGCTAAACTGCTCAAGGACATCGGACCTAAAACCGTTCCCTGCGGGACGCCGCCCAAAGCACGGTACAAAATACCGCTCGACGCAGCGTTATCAGCGTTATCAACAATTATATCACCCACCTTTACACTGAATTTCGAAATAAAGATAAGATACGCATAGAAACTAGTCACAGATATTAAATAAAATTATTACATTGTGTGGTCGAGTGTCGAACGCGTCGGTGGAGTCGACGAAATTTAGGACCGTTGAAGTAGGATTTATTCCTACAGTGTGTGTTGTGAAAATGAATTTGAAACAAATAGTTTTGTTTGCATGTGTGTTAGCTGTGTCTTTGGGACAGGAATGTAAGTTTAAAACCATTATATAACTTATTTTTAACGATAACCGTGGAGATAAGGTGAAGAAAAATGGCGGTATCGGTATCGATAAATCGATATTTCCAATTTGATTGTAGAAAAATATTACTTAGCTCTTTCTGGGACATGCTTCTTTATCTTGAACCACGCCCAATAAAAATCTGGATTCTTTAAATATAATAGATACATAGACAAAAACATGTATTTATTGAATTATTTTCTCCATCTACAATTTCAAGTTAAAAAGGTGTGTTCTCAAAGAGGTTTGTTGCTAACCTTTCAAGCTATATTTGAATAAGGGTATGCAGTATTACTTTATCTATAGAGCATAGTACGCCCGTGATAAAATCAAGTTCTAAATGATAAGGGACCGTTATCAGTCCGTACTCGAACGGATGCAATCCCAATTTTGGTAGGTGACTTAGATTTTCAATACTCAATTCTTTATTGCTATCCACATGTATGACTGAGGTGGCAAATATAATTAGGACACAATTTGGAGCCTGTCAGGTACAACAATATACGTTTTGGAGTTAACTCACATTAACATGTCATTCGATGAAAAGAAATAAGCATCTACAATATTTTTATGCGTCTATGGTACAACTTTTTTTCGTTTAAGTTATCCTTGTAGGTTTTAAGAGCACTCTAAACTAAAAGTTACTTACGTAGCACATAAACTGACTCCTGACTTGTAGTGTTAGGTGTTTTTTTTTTATATTTGATGGGGCGACGTTTGACCGCTATCTCGCCTGGTGGTAAGCGATGATGCGGGCTACGATGGAGCACGTCGTCCCATAAGCAACCTATTCACTCGGGCCTTGAAGACTCCCAGGTGTTACTTGTATTTCGGTGAAAACTAAGTTATCGATAAATGTCACTATCCTAGCTTAAAAATTAGGAGTGATTCTTTTTAAATGGGACAAGCCCACCACAACCTTTCAAAACCGCTGCAACTCCTGTAAGCCAGGATCTACAGTAGATACAACCATGCAAACACCGGAACACTGAAGTCCAACGTCTCAGGGACATGAGTTACTGTCTTGGTTCCCGTAACGAAATGAATCAAAAGATATTATAATATCTCCTTAATATTGGAGTAGTTCGTGAAAATTGTCAATAAAGTCCACTACTAGCTTATCGCCCCAGTTTTGGCCTGGTGCCCATTTTCCGCTGTTCCGGGTGAATGTAACGAAGTTTCTTTATACAAACTCTCTCTGAACTAATACGGAGAAGGTTTGAGCATTAATCACCACGCTTACTTAACGCGGGTTGGCGATTTCAAACTTATAATTAGAAATTTTAAGCTCAAGTTTCCTTACGATGTTTCCCTTCACCGTTTGTCAGTGGTGTCTGAATAATCTTAGAAAGTACATATAACTCGGAAAAATTCACGTTGGTACTTGCTGTTGGTAGGTATCGATCTCGCGCCCTCTTGTATGGGGCCTCTCCATCTCCTCTCGTCAATAGTCCCGCCAACAGAATGCTGCCATCCGTTCAAAATTTCATTCGTTTTCCCGCCTTTATCGAAATCGTCAAAAGACGCAGACGTTTCGAGAATTCAAGTCCGTTCTATTTTTTTTAAACCCGTGTTCTCGATGTCATCAGTTGACATTTCGAGAATCCAAGTCCGTTTTATTCATAGTATTTTTATATGTTTGTTTATGGTCAATCACAAAGAAGTTTAGTCTATTACACAATAAAAATACAAATTAAATAATTAAATTAAATCATAATGTTAATTAACCCTAACAGAAGAAATAATAGATCTGTTTAATAATAATAATAGTCATCTGTATCTCCTATCCTCTCTCTCTGCCTCGTTGGCCGAGTGGTTGCAACTCCGACTACCTAGCAAGGGTTCTCAGTTTCGATTCCCAGCTGGGGCAAAGTATTACTGTGTTTAAAAAAATCTCAGTAATAGCGCGACGTCTGGAATTGTGCCCGGTATATGGCAATAGGCTCACCCCCTATTACATGGGACTCATAACATAAATAGTGAAAAGTGGGTGTTACATTGTTCAGTGGCATTAAGTGCCGTAATGTGCACCTCTGCATACCCAATGTTGCAAAATTACGGTCATAACCGAGGCGTGCACATTTAGGCTTGACCTTACTCAAAGACTATGTCATTGACTTCATCTAAGTAATCCTTTAATACGTCATGATCTAATGTTTACAAGTACCTAAACAGTGTTTTATTTCACGTAGGTACCGGTAGTAACTATTTTAAGAGTTAATAATATATCTACTATGTATAAAAATAAGTCGGGTTTTCCTTCCTGGCGCTATAACTCCAGAACGTACGAACTGATTTCCAGGATTTGCATTCGTTGGAAAGGTCTCGGGCTCCGTGAGGTTTACAGCAAAGAAAATTCACATTTAATCACCAAACGAAATGTTACATAAAACGGAGCCATCTGGTGGCGGAACGGAGTTCGCTGGTTTTGCTAGTAATAGAAAAGAACCAGTGTTACTTTGCGGAAATCCATGACACACTAACAACTGGGTAAATACGTAGTTCTTATTTCGCTGCAAGAATGAATTTGCAGCATGCGGTATCGTGTGCAGCAGCGCCGTTTTAATATTTCTGTGAGCACCGCCATAGTTACAGCTGTATACAGTCTGTCACTCTCTCCACACTCCCCTAAACTCCCCTAGTGCGCTACATGTCACACAGCTTGCTACGCGCAGTAGTTACAGCTGTGTACAGTCTGTCACTCTCTCAGTCAATCAAGGGATAGTATTATATACACCTCTTTATAATATAGATTCCTTGACAATAATAGTAACTTAGCGACACATATTATGTAGGTAATATAATAATTGATAATTAATACAATTACATCAAATGATAAGATAGGTATTTCTCGAGTTGATAGTGGCACGTGATCATGATATAATTCCACTCTTTATTTTACAAGGTACGCAAACGTAACTTTGTGGATTTTGTTCCCTAAAATAATACATCAACAGTCCTTTTTTGAGTGAGGAAGAACATCGAATGTCTACTGACATATATCTTATACTCTTATACTATTATATAAAGCGGAAGAGTTAGTTTTTTTGTTTGTTTGTTTGTTTGTTTGAACGCGCTAATCTCCGTAACTACAAGTCTGATTTCAATAATTCTTTTTGTGTTGGATAGTGCATTTATCAAGGAAGGCTATAGGCTATAAAACATCACGCTACGACCAATAGAAGCTGAGCAGAGCGTGTGAAACCGCGCGGAAGTAGCTAGTTCGAATATATGTCGTGGAGGCGTGAAACCTTCATGGTTTAAGACGCCCGCTACTCATGCATGAGGGTGCGGGCTCAAAACCTACCAACGGCAAGTACCAATGTGACTTTTCCGAGTTATATGTACTTTCTAAGATTATTTAGACACCACTAACAAACGGTGAAGGAAAACATCGTGAGGAAACCTGGACTTATAATTTCTAATTATAAGTTTGACATCGCCAACTCGCGTTGAGCATGCGTGGTGATTAATGCTCAAACCTTCGACGGTGATCAACCATCAGGTGATCTCCTTCTGCTCGTTTACCTGCCTATACAATAAAAAAGCGGGACGATCTCCGGCCACCGTAAGCATGGGCCTGCGGACGGCGAGCATGAGTGGCTCCCCGTCTGACCAGAAACAGACCCGAGCGTACGGCGCGTCGCGTTCCGTGCGCCTCAAAGAGCCATCAGACCACCACAGATGGGGTCCAATAGGGCTGATGCCGATTCCGATTCGCGGAGAACCTAACGGGTTACCGGGCTCCGGCTCGACTCGAGAAGGTACGGGGTGGTTTTTAGTCAGTAAGAGTCTGACACTCACTCCCGCCTCATCCAGGCGGGAGCAGGCATTCGATGATTTTCCCTCCTTAAAAAAATACCTTAAAAAGCGTTTTTGAGAGTGTTTCATATTATGTTTTTGACAAAGAATATAACAAAGATCATAAAATATACAAAACATTTGTTCTACACTTAGTTATGCAATTAAAGTATCTTTCTTTATACATACATTATCTTTTTTAAATAGATTACAGAGTACATATGTAGAAATATACAAATATTTAGATCCTTTCATAAACATTTGTGTTATAAATATCTTTTTATATTCGTTACAATGTGACATCGTGGTGGCCTAGAGGTAAAGACAAATGGCATAAGCCGGTAAACGAGCAGACGGACCACCTGATGGTAAGCAATCAGCGTCGCCCATGGACACCTGGAACACCATAGGCGTTACAAGTGCGTTACCGGCCTTTTGGGGATTAGGAGTTTGAGGATCGTTGGAATTCAGGAATTGGGGAGTTTGGGGAAGGGGAGGGTAATTGGGCCTCCGGTAGCCTCACTCACACGACGAAACGCAACGCAAGCGTTGCTTCACGTCGGTTTTCTGCTCGGCCGTGGTATCACTCCGGTCGAGCCGGCCCATTCGTGCCGAAGCATGGCTCTCCCACAAATTGGTGGACCAGTCGCACTGTTAGTGTCCACGTTCGGCTCCCTATGTCATGACTGGTAGGACGCACTCGTTGAAGACTTTTGTCTTCAGGCTTTGCGGTAGAGTTGACGAAGTGCCATATAGTATCGAAAGAAATTCATACAAATATTTCCTCAGTCAGTTACTCACTGCCACACCTAATTCTTTATCTGGTTTACTATAAATTCATTCGTCACTAAGTACATTAATGATAAGACGAGCTTACCTAGAAATCTAAAATAACATTGTTTTCCTTGGTGGCTCAGAGGTTTAAAACACCCGCTTCTCAGGGGGCAAATACCAATGTAAATATGACTTTTTCCAAGTTATATGTACTTTCTAAGATTATTTAGACACCACTGACAAACGGTGAACGAAAACATCGTGAGGAAACTTTCGCCGTAGACTTGGGACATTAGTAGATAATTATGTATTTATAAACTTATGTGTAAAATCTGTATGTGTCACCTGTTTTAGCGTGTGAACTATAGATATTTTTCTTTCTTTTCTTTCTTTTTTCTTTTTTAAAGATTTTAATTTATGTAACTAATAATAAACTAAAACTAATGGAGAAAATTTAATAATAAAAAAATAAAACATTCAAGAAAAGAGCGTATTTCTTTTTACTGACTTCTCTGGTGTTGCATGGGCGGCGCTGATCACTAACCATCAGGTGATCCGTCTGCTCGTTTGCCTCTTATTCCATAAAAAAATGACTATTTATAAAGAGCATCAAAAATTCTTCCGCTTTTATTCGCTTCCGCAAATAAAAAAGATTTTTTTGGTAAATACCCAGAAGGCTTTTTTAAGGGGGAAAAAATCTTCGAAAATCGAATGACTGCTCCCGCCTGGGTGAGGCGAGAGGGATTGTCAGACTCTTACTGACTAAAAACCACCCCGTTCCTACTCCTGCACGTCGAGCCGGAGCCCCGGTAACCTTTTACGTTCCCCGCGGCTATACTTAGAAGGCTGGCAGCATTGCCACGTTGTATGGCAACGCTTAACCTCTGACCGAGAAACAGACCAGTCCTCTGGTCTCGAGATATGTCGACCAGGCGTTTTGTTTTGATATATTCTATTTTTTGACTTGAGTAGACTGTCTGGTTGTTCAAGTGGTCCCAAGTGCGACTACCGGACAAGGGGTCTCGGGTTCGATTACCGAGTCGGGCAAAGTATTACTGGATATTTAAAAAAAATCTCAGTAGTAGTACGGAGTCTGGAACTGTGCCCGATTCTCACCCCCTATTACATGGGACTCATAACATAAATAGTGGAAAGTGGGTGTTACATTGTACAGTAGCATGAAGTGCCGTAATGTGTACCTCTGCCTACTCCTTCGGGGATAAAAAGGCGTGAAGATTATTATGTTATGTTTTTAATAAACATTTGTAGTTATAATGTTTTTGTTTTGTTTACAGACCGAGTATGCGTCACAAATGGAGTGGTCCCAGCTTCATGCAATAGTTTGAGTATTAACGGCGGCCGGTTTATGTGTGAGCGTGTGGAATCCAGGTAATTACACATTCCTAGGGATGAAAAGTTGCCTATGTTTTATCAAAGTCAAAGTCAAAATCATTAATTATTTCAATTAGGCCAGAATGGCACTTTTAAACATCAACAAAAAAAAAATTAAAGTGAAGCTATTTGCTCATTCCAAGGTGTAGATTCCTATGGAGAAGAACGAGCAAGAAACTCCATAGGTTACTCTTTTTCAATCAGGTTCACAATACAATTTACTAGTTACATAGTTTTGCTGTTTGGATTGTGCGAGAACAATGTAACACTAAAATCCAGTCAAAGTGATCAATAAAGAAAATAACCTTAAGGAAAATAATACAGTCTGGAGCTGACCAGTCCCAGTTGACGGCGCCCGTTCACGAACATGACACGAACATATCCTAGACCTTAATCTACCTCTGCTGTTCCAAATTTCAACCAAAATCGCATCACTACATAGTATAAAACAAAGTCACTATCCGCCGTCTGTCTGTCCCTATGTATGCTTAGATCTTTAAAACTACGCAACGGATTTTGATGCGGTTTTTTTAATAGATAGAGTGATTCTTAAGGAAGGTTTATATGTATAATACATGCATATTGCACCCGTGCGAAGCTGGGGCGGGTCGCTAGTTTTAAATATTAGACAGAAGTTCATCATGATCGGCTATGTCGAAGGCGTATGTCGAGTAAAGATATGGATACAGTAGGGAACAAAATGTCCTACATGTATCGGCGATATGTTAAGCGAAGCCGGCTGACATTTATATAGCCGAGTGGTCGCAAGTGCGACTGCCGGGCAGGGGGTCTCGGGTTCGATTCCCGGGTCGGGCAAAGTATTACTGGGTTTTTAAAAAATTCTCAGTAGTAGCACGGAGTCTAGAACTGTGCCCGGTATATGGCAATAGGTTCACCCCCTATTACATGGGACTCATAACATAAATAGTGAAAAGTGGGTGTTACATTGTACAGTGGTATAATGTGCATCTCTGCCTACCCCTTCGGGGATAAAAGGCGTGATGTTATGTTATGTATGTTATGTTATGTATCTTAATTTTTAAATTTTGTCTCTCAGGGTGGAATGCGCGGAGAAGTTAGCAAAGAAAGAAGCAGATGTAGCTTACTTCACTTCAGAAGAAACTTTACTTCTGGCGCATCAACAACCCACTGACAGTAGAGTTATTGCTACAGTCAGACATATAGAGAACCTTGGTAAGTTTTTACTATAGAGGTAGAACTAGCAAACCCGGCGAACTCCGTTTCGCCACCAGAGGTCCAAGCACGAATAACTATCTCATTCGTCATCATCATCAACAGCCTATAAATGCCCACTGCTGAGCAAAGCCTCTTCTCACACGGAGAAGGTTAGAGCATTAATCACCACGCTTGCTCAATGCGGGTTGGCGATTTCAAACTTATAATTAGAAATTATAAGTCCAGGTTTCCTCACGATGTTTTTCCTTCACCGTTTGTCAGTGGTGTCTAAATAATCTTAGAAAGTACATATAACTCGGAATAAGTCACATTGGTATCGTAACAGTATTGAGCGAGTTAAGCGTTCTGATTGGTTGGTTCACTTGAGCCGGCCAATCAGAGCGCCGAACGCACTCGATACTAGAGGTATTACGTTACGAATGCCTACTTGGCCCTCAGATGGCTTCGTTTTATGTAACATTTCGTTTGGTGATTAAAAGATGAAGAAGCATTTTTTTTTGTTTTATATTTTATAAACCTCTCGGAACCCGAGACCTTTGCAACGAATGCAAAACCGTGGAAATCGGTTCGTGCGTTCTGGAGTTATAGCGTTTTGCCATGGTTTTCCCAGTGGGCTACAACATGAGGTTCTTCAAGAAGGCAGTGAATAGGTTTTTTAAGGGTCGGCAAGACGCATGTAATGCCCCAAGTGTTGCAGGCGTACATAGGCCACGGTAACCGCTTACCATCAGGTGGGCCGTGCGCTTTTTTGCCACCGTCGTGGTATAAAAAAAAAGCGTCAGGAAGGAAAACCCGACTTATTTTTATATAGTAGATAGGGTAGTTTCCTAAATTTTATTTTAATGTCCATCTGGTACATTAACTCGTCGAGTACCGGTTTTATAGACACAATTAAAGAACAATAGGTCGCGGTCACCGGTGACCGCTTGGTGTTTGACAGATTAATTTAAAACTTTAGACACGTATTTGTTCTTTTTTCACAAAATTAAATACTTTTGACGATATATTAATTTGAAATATCGTGTGACGTCACAGCGTGCCACATTTTGTAGCACGTTATGACGTAACGACCTCCCACTCCTTAACTTATCGCCATTTTATCCTAAGTATTGCAACTTAATACGAGAAAATAAAAAATACGTGTCTAATATTTTTTCATTATCTAACTGACGGACTAATTAGATTTTTAATTTTGATACCCTGGAAACTACCCTTTATACGCTAACTACCTACTTTTACGCAGTGTTATACACTGCTCGGCTCTCAGTAGTTGTAGCGTGATGGTTTATAACCTATACTTCGTTGACTGCCGAGTAGGTAGCAGGTAGCAAGTGCAACTGCCGGGCAAAGGGTCTTGGGTTCGATTCCCGAGTCGGGCAAAGTATTACTGGGTTTTTAAAAAAAATCTCAGCAGTAACACGGTGTATGCAATTTTGCCCGATATATGGCAATAGGCTCACCCCCTGTTACGTGGGACTCATAACATAAATAGTGAAAAGTGGGTGTTACATTGTACAGTGGTTTTAAGTGCCGTAATGTGCACCTCTGTCTATCCCTTCGGGGATTAAAGCATGTAATGACCTCCTAATAGGGACTCCCGTGTGCTTATCTGGTGAGCACAAAACGGTAGTCCGTAGTGGTTAGGAGGCACAAATGTAAGAGAAGAGCTTTTTTGTCCAACTTCAGACTCCATGCTAATACTGAGATTTTTTTAAAAACCCAATAATACTTTGCCTTACACGGGAATCGAACCTAGACCCCTTGCCCGGCAGTCGCACTAGCGACCACTCGGCTAACGAAGCAGAGAGAGAGAATTTTTTTATGAGGGGGGAAAATCATCGAATGGCTGCTCCCGCCTGGGTGAGGCGGGAGGGAGTGTCAGACTCTTACTGACTAAAAACCACCCCGTTCCTTCTCTTGCACGTTGAGCCGGAGCCCCGGTTACCCGTTAGGTTCTCCGCGACTCCGAATCGGCAGAGAGAGATTATAGGATACTTACTGCTTGGCATTCCATTATATTTTCTTTCCACAGAACCTTACGACTTCGAGGCAGTGGCTGTGGTTCCTCTCAACCACACCAATGGTTTGGAAGGTCTCCGTGGTGGAGTATACTGCCACCCAGGTTTCGATGTTGAAGATTCTAAGTGGTCTCTAAGAGTATTGAAGACCCTTGAGCAACAGGCAAGTGGACTCAAACCGTGTTTTTTATACCATAAGCCGGTAAACGAGCAGACGGATCACCTGATGGTAAGCAATCGGCGTCGCCCATGGACACCTGGAACACCAGAGGCGTTTCACAAATATTGTTTGATGCCAGTTTTCTGTAGTTTTTTTTAGTCCCATTCGTCCTGAAATGGGTATAATTCGCCTACCCGGAATCCATACGCCATGACACTTTGGCAATACAATATTGGTCATGCAAAACAAGTATGCCTGTCCAACCTAGGACCCTCGCTTCTAGACACAGATACTTTAGCCATATGAAGATTGAGATAGAAGAGATGTCATGGTGGCCCGGAGGTTTAAGACGCCCGCTTCTCATGCATGAGGGTACGGGCTCGAAACCTACCAACGGCAAGTACCAATGTGACTTTTTCCGAGTTATATGTACTTTCTAAAATTATCTAGACACCACTGACAAACGGTGAAGGAAAACATCGTGAGGAAACCTGAGCTTATAATTATAAGTTTGTAATCGCCAACCCGCATTGGTCAAGCGTGGTGATTGATGCTCAAACCTTCTCCGTGTGAGAAGAGGCTTTGCTCAGCTGTGGGCATTTATAGGCTGTTGATGATGAAGATTATTTTTATTTGATGGGCCAACGTTTGACCACTATCTCGTTACTATTTGAAGTTTATTAAGAGTTCGATTAAACTCTTAATTTTACTGTACCCTACAGGCGGCCCGTACAGACAGATGCCAGGATGTCAACACAGCCGGCAAAACCGCTGAAGAGATGGAAGTGGATACCCTGAGCAACTTCTTCTCATCAGCCTGCAGACCAGGAACCTGGAGTAGCAATGACACCGTCGATGCTAACCTAAGTAAGTCTACGTTATACATTTGGGAGTCAAGAGATGGAGCCACTAGCGTCTATAACTATTTCAAACACAAATATTTGTTTTTTATGATATAAGCCGGTAAATGAGCAGACGAGACGAATCACCTGATGGTAAGCAATCATGGACACCTGGAACACCAGAGGCATTTCAAGTGCGTTACCGGCTTTTTGGGATTAGGAATTTGAGGATTGTTGGGTATTCAGGGATTGGAAAAGAGGGGGGGGGGTGATTGGGCCTCGGGTAACCTCACTTACACGACGAAACACAACGCAAGCGTTGTTTTACGTCGGTCTTCTGCTCGGTCGTGGTATCACTCCGGTCGAGCCGGCCCATTCGTGCCGAAGCATGGCTCTCCCACACTTAGAGTTACATAATGAGTTTCTTAACGATAATGACAACTATTTTCATTAATTTTAATCTTAACAACAGGGAAAGAATCAGTTAGAAATACAATTAAAAATAGATAAGGAATCAATAGTTAGCGGGGGTTCGCGGTGAGGGGACCCGCGCATGCGTGTCGCGGTGGTGTCACGATGACCACACCTTGTAAAGCACGCTATACAAGACGTTTGCAATGATGACTATATTTCTTCTGCTGATCAGATGGCGCTGATGTAGCATGGGGTCCTGTTGGGAATAGTAAAGAGTTAGTTTATTAATTAGAGAGTTCTAAAAATCGTTTGAATTTACAGTTTTTAATTTACGCAACTATGCATCTCCATCATAATATTATAGATGGTTGGCAGGCCATAACTGTGCGCTTCTCTCGTAGCTTACTGCCTCGCACAGCAAAATAGTACAATGATCTGTCGTCGGCGGTATTTCCGAACCGATACGACCTTGAAACCTCCAAGAAAAGAGCGTATTCCTTTTTAAAATTCCGGCAACACGCCTGTGACTCCTCCGGTGTTTCAGGTGTCCATGGGCGACGATAATTGTTTACCATCAGGTAATCCGTCTGCTCGTTTACCGGCTTATGCTATAAAAAGGCCTTTACAATATAAACTTTTTTTTTCAGAATCCCGCTACCCATCCCTCTGCAGCCGTTGTGGACCTGATACCAGTTGTTCGAGATACACGCTGGATATGGGCGTGTCAGTGGCTGGAGCCAGCAACGATAACCGTCACATCCAAGCCTTGGAGTGTTTGAGGGTCAATGGCAATGCTACCAACACTGCCGTGGCGTACGTTGCATGGCAGCATGTTAGACAATTCTTTACTGTAAGTTATTTATCTTCTAGCTCCTGTCTGCTTTGCCTATGAGATAATAAGTAGCCTATGTGTTGGTCCAGACTATGATATACCTCTGTACCAAATTTCATCCCGATCCCTTGAGCCGTTTGGCCGTGATTGAGTAACAAACATACAGACAAACATACAAACTTACATTTTGTAATACTAGCTTTTACCCGCGGCGTCGCTCGCGTCACAAAAGGATAAAAAGTAGCCTATGTGACATATACCAATACATACAGCGCCATCTATACCAATACTTTTGTTTTCCCGCGGGAATATCAAATTTTTCCGGGATAAAAAGTACCCTATTATTTAATCCAGACTTCTAACTTTACGTCTGCAAAAATTCAAAGCAATCGGTTTAGTAGTTACGGCGTGAAAGCGGAACAAACAAACAAACTCACTTTCCGACTTATAATATTAGTACGGATTATTGAAGTAAATTTCTCTGTTCGTGTTCACAAAAAAAAAAAAAATCTCCAGTGCGCGTCCATTCGTCATTGCCTGTGGAGTCTAGGACATTTTTCCGTGCATTTAAGCGTTTTTGCAATACCTATTATTGGAAGCAAGTATAACAGCTCAGACATAAGACCCGCTTAGTTCTTAGTCTTTCCGTGGTTGGCGACTGGGCTTCTCCAAGTTGTACAGTTCTTTTTGTGCTTCTAGGTTTAATTCATTCTGTGTCCTGCAGTAATTCACCGAGGGAAGTGGAAACTATCGTTTTTTTTCTTCGCCTCTTATAATATCTTCTGATTCATTTCGTTGCGGGAACCAAGACAGTTATTCATGTCCCTGGGACGTTGGACTTCAGTGTTCCGGTGTTTTCATGGTTGTATCTACTGTAGATCCTGGTGTACAGGAGTTGCAGTGGTTCCGGGAGGTTGTGGCGGGCTTGTCCTTATAATAAAATGTACGCGTCCATTTTACGGTGTGGACGGGGCATTACATACATCTTGTAAGGCAAACTTTATAGATGCAACCTTTGTGGCACTATCGCGACACGCATGCGTGAGACCTCCTCACCGCGCAGACCCCGCTTCGCTGTATCGATTACTGCCCCTTGCACTTTTGTTCTTATACATATTTGATGTTTGAAGACTGTCTAATTATGATAACAGTCTCTGTTACATTTATAAATACATTTCAATACATAAACTCATGCATTTGTTGTCTAAAAGTGTCTTAAACTTACGGATTGTAACTTTTACGACCCTTATTCTTTATGACATTCATTTTTAGTTTAAATATGTCATTATAATCTACACTGGTATTATATTTATTGTAAAAACAGTACAAAACAGTAACGTCTATTTAGCCGATCTTAACTTTCACACGCCTGCGTCAGTTGATTTGATAATACCGCTGATATTTTTTGGGACGTTCTAAGATCATAAAGGTTAATCAATCACTTCAGAACGTCCAGTTCTTTAGATGAAAATTTGCACAATTATAGTCTATTTAACAAGGCATCCTTGCTTGTGGAGTAACAGGCGTTTAAAATGTCAACCTTTAAATTGACCTCAACTTGATTGCTATTTCAAATGTGGAGAGGACATGTACCGCAGCCCTGCAGCACCCTTTTTTATGTCATAAGCCGGTAAACGAGCAGACGGATCACCTGATGGTAAGCAATCAGCGTCGCCGATGGACAACTGAAACACGAGATGCGTTACAAGTGCGTTACCGGCCTTTTAGGGATTACGAGTTTGAGGATCGTTGGGGATTCAAGTATTGGGGAGATTGGGGAAGGGGACTGCAATTGGGTATTCGGTAACCTCAATCACACGACGAAACACAACGCAAGCGTCGCTGCGTAGTTTTCTGCTCGGCCGTGGTCACTCCGGTCGAGCCGGCCCATTCGTGCCGAAGCATGACTCTCCCACACTTAACACAACCAAAGCCTAATTTTAAGGGCTGGAATTTGCTGGACAACGACAGGTTGTATTAGTAGTGGTCTATTTTTAGTTATTTCTATTCTGGAAACGCGGGTACAGTCGCTATTGGAACTAGTAGGTAATATTGAGTACCGTCATTATGGACACAATTAAAGAAGTGTGCGGACACCGGTGTCCTCGCGGTGTTTGACAGTTTATAGTAGATTATATTCTATAGAACCACGTGGTTTACACAACAAAAGCAGTTGGTCCCACGCTTTTCGAAAGATCGATATTGCGGGGGTGAGGGGTACGGGGTTCTCGCGCATGCGGGTCGCGATGGTGCCAAAACGACCGCACCCTTGACAGCATGCCACAAACAAAGAAAATGTTATTTATATTAAGAAACATATACCTATCTAATTATAAGTTTGAAATCGCTAACCCGCATTGAGTAAGCGTGGTGATTAATGCGCAAATCTTTTCAGTGTGAGAAGAGACTTTTGCTGATAGGATTTGCTGACTGATAGGCTGTTGATGATAATGATGATGATGATGATGATGATAAATGCACGACTGCACGGTTGGTGCGGTGGCTGGGCAACCGGCTGCCGTGCAACGTGTCGCGGGCTCGATTCCCGCACGGAACACCACTTGGTGTGATCCACAAATTGTTTGGTGTCATTGTGTATGTGAACTTGTATGTTTGTAATCGCAAACACGACACAGGAAAAACTCCTAATGTGGGGCAAAAAAAGGATAAATAAATAAATATCACTTTTTCTTTCAGCGTCGCAACCCCAATGACGCCCCGTTCTATGCGGTGCTCTGCCCTAATGGTACGCTGGCCCCCCTGACCACTGACACTCTGAACAACGCCATCTCACCGTGTTCTTTCGTCCGTCAACCTTGGGGAACCATTGTAGCTACTACGTAAGTCATCTTATATCTTATTATTTTCGCGCTCTTCTCGACGCCTTTTTATTGTAGCGTGATGTTTTTTTAAACGCGCTAATCTCCGAAACTACTTATCTGATTTAAATAATTCTTTTTGTGTTGGATAGTACATTTATCGAGGATGGCTATAGGCTATAAAACATCACGCTACGAATAATAGGAGACGAGCAGAGCCGGTGAAACCGCGTAGAAGAGATGTGCACATAATACAATGTAACATCCAGTTTTCACCAGTTATGTCATGAGTCCTATATACTAGAGACTTAAGTCCTATATACTTCGAAAATTAAAATGTATTATTGTTCAGCAATAACTTTGAATATTGCTGTATTTTGGTAAGCGCGCCATCTATTGAGCTATCGTTGAAACCTTCATTACCCGTATGTGGCGATAGATGGCGTTACTCTACTTACTCTTCAGTGAGTTAGATGTCACTAGAAGCTACTACTTCATTAACGCTTTACAGTTTGAAAGAAAGACTGAACAAACCATTTCTTTCTGAAAAAATAATATCTTGATAATTATCATCATTAGGTACTTATATTAATGATTTTTCTTTTAATTGTTTAACCTCTTAAAACTGGATTTTTAACTGATTTAGTCACTCCGACTTACAGAGACAATGCAGCTGCCGTCCTTCTAGCCTTGAGGACCGCTTGGCCAGCAGGATCCAACCCTGGCAGCTCTTGGCAGTCAACGTTATTCACCATGTTAGCTGGCCCAGCCACCGCTCGAGTGGTTTACGAGGACGCTCCTGTATCGCCAGTGGACTTTACTTCCTCATGTAAGTTACTTCTTTATTATGTTTATATTATGTAAGTTTATAGCTTACTCGTTGTGGTGGCCCGGAGGTTTAAGGCGCCAGCTTCGGTTCGGGTTCGAAACCTATCAACGGCAAGTACCAATGTGACCTTTTCCGAGTTATATGTGCTTTTTAAGCTTATTTAGACACCACTGACAAACGGTGAAGGAAAACATCGTGAGGAAACCTGGGCTTATAATTTCTAATTATAAGTTTGAAATCGCCAACCTGCATAGAGCAAGAGTGGTTATTAATGCTCAATCCTTCGCCGTGTGAGAAGAGGCCTTTGGTCAGCAGTGGACACTTATAGGCTGTTGATGTAAAATAAATGCTATTTTGTTTTGGTTACAGTCCGTCCAATCAGCAACGCTGACGCCAGTGCGTCCTGCATGCCCGCTCGCCGCTGGTGCACAGTCTCTGAAGCAGAATTGGCCAAGTGCAACTGGGTGAGAGGTGCTGCTCATATTCTGGGTAAGATAACATATTGTATATGTTTCTTTATTCTCTACTGTGTGCCCACGACATCATTCGCGTGGAATAGTGATTCACAGCTCCTCCCCCGTAGCCTGATAATATGTAACCTATGTTGACCCAACCTGTTAGTAATATTCATGCAAAATTTGAAGTAAATCCATATGTAGTACTTTTTGAGTTTAACCCGGACATACAGCCGGTAAACGAGCAGACGGATCACCTGATGGTAAGCAATCGGCGTCGCCCATGGACACTTGGAACACCAGAGGCGTTACAAGTGCGTTACCAGCCTTTTGGGGAATTAGGAGTTTGAGGATCGTTGTGGTTTCAGGAATTAGGGAGATTGGGGAAGGGGAGGGTAATTGGGCCTCCGGTAACCTCACTCACACGACGAAACACAACTCAAGCGTTGCTTCACGTCGGTTTACTGTGAGACCGTGGTATCACTCCGGTCGAGCCGGCCCATTCGTGCCGAATAGGGCATGCAAAACCGGTTTTCCGGTTTTGCGCAAAACCGGAAATCGGCAAAAATTTAACGATTTTTAAAAACCGGTTTTGAGACCCAAAACCGGAGCTCAGCTCCGGTTTTTCCAATACTGAGTAACAATTAACAATTTGATTTTTATCAACATTTTTTTAACACTCTCAAAAAATAATTAATTTTGAGGCATCAAATGTACCTATCCGCACCGAACACAGTCTGCATCTACCCACTTACACGCCTCCCTCCACTACCCCCGCACCCCGCACCCGTAACCCGCCAGCCTGCGCCTGCGTTGATGCATAATACCCTTACCGGGAGTGCAAATGCAAGAGAAAGAGAACCCCCAAAAATCAAAGATTTCGACCTGGCTGGGTTCGTAAAAGTAGAGCAAGCCATGTATGAAAGCGGAGGGCATCGGGGTGTGTATCTCACCGAAGCATATAATTATTTATTATGTGTTCTACCAACAAGTGTTGAGAGTGAAAGGGTGTTTTCGAGTGCTGGGTATTTCTGTAACAAAATAAGAAGTTCGCTGTCTGATCGAATGTTGGATGCACTTATATTTTTGAGATCACATTATCAAGAACAGCGATCTCTTGAAAAGAAGTGATTTATGCTTTATTTAAATTAGTATATATAGTTGATTATTGATCTCTTTTTTAGTTCAATATGAATCATATTATAATAATGTTACTTTGTAGTTTGACTTCAAAGCTACAAAAATGTTGATTTTTTTGGTAATTGTCAGATGCTGATTGTTTTCTATGTTTAAAATATAGATATTATTTTTGATAGGTACCAAAGATACCAAAAACTTACTTGTTGTTGATTTGATCTCAGTTAATTAATCTTTATACTATTATAAGTTCATTGTTATCTGTACAATTATTGCAGTTTGGATTAAAAAGAAATTTATCATTTTGTTTTATTTGTAGACTTAGTGGGTATTTAAAAAAAAGGTGTTTCTTTTTAAATTAGATTTTTTTTTGCTAAAACCGGACCTAGCTCCGGTTTTCGGTTTTGGTCCCAAAAAAACGATGTTCAAAACCGGTTTTGATGACTTTCCGGTTTTGCATGCCCAAATGCCGAAGCATGGCCATCCCACACTTAAAAAATTATATCTTCTTTGCTGCAGGTATCCAGCCTTCTATTACGTGTCTGAGAAGGAACACAGTCCTGGACTGTCTCTCTGACGTCAAAGCTGAACAAGTTGACTTCCTGGCAATATCTTCCACCTACGGCTACTTGGCTAGACAGTAAGTGCTTTTTGGGATAGAGATACGAGCAGATGGATCACCTGATGGTAAGCAATCGGCACCACCCATGGACATTTGCAACGCTAAAGGAGTTTCACTTGCGTTGTAGGCCAACTAGGTATTCTGTAGCTGTCCATTCGACTTTCGAAGTGAGGGCTCGTACACAAAACTGTGATACGACGTCACATCGACGATAGATGCGTAGAGACGTATCGCAAGAACTTGAGAATTGATTCCCATCGCGCATCAAAATCTTATCTTCCAAAATCTTCTTTGTTTCTTTTTCCTGTATCTCCTAAGCAATAACAGAAGTGCACACTTCTTTTTACGACCCATGTCACGACCTATATATAAAATTTAAAATATGTTTAGTACGGTTGATGGTCGTCGAAGGAATGGTCACCCTGGGAGACGCCTTGTCGCACGAAATCACATCGCAGCAATTCGCATCGTGATTTTTTGCGTTGCGAATTCGCATTGCATCGCAGTTTTGTGTACGAGCTCCGAGCTCAATCGCATTCTCTCCCTTTTAAAATGTATTTATTTATTTATTCAGATAATACAATCCATAATTATGATTAGTAAAGATATACACAACTTATAAACTAGTATTAGTACATCATCGTCATAGGATATTCAACCTTACCCTGGTCTCCAAAACCTCATTTTCTTTCGCCAGACACTACCAGCTAACTCCAGTAAAATTGGTCCAGAACCAATTTGCCAACGCGACCAAGATCGCTGCTTTCGTTAAGGAGTCGTCTGTCGCTTCTGGCAACCTCACCCGCTTCGAGAACCTTCGAGACAAGAACGCCTGCTTCCCTGAATTTGGTGGACTGGGTAAGGGTCTTTTATGGTCACGGGCCTGCGGACCAGAACCAGGCCCGAGCGTACGGCGCCCAGCGGTCCGCGCGTGCTTCAATGAGCCATCAGACCACCACACAACCTCAGAGGGCTTAACAAGTTGCTCCGGCTCGAAGTGCAGGAGTATAAACGGGGTGGTTTTTAGTCAGTAAGAGTCTGACACTCCCTCTCACCTTTCCCGTGCGGGAGAAGTCATTGAGTGATTTTCCCCCCTTAAAAAACAAAAAGCCCGCCACAACCTCCTAAAACCGGAGCCCCGGTTACCCGTTAGGTCCTCCGCGACTCCGAATCGGCAACATGTGGCGGGCTTGTCCCATATAAACAAGGGCACTTGCAACTGGTTATTGAGTCGATGGTTTACAGCTGATGGTAAGCTATTGGTCCGACCAGGAACACCGGAGCAGTTACAAGTGCGTTGCCTAGGGAATTGAGTTTCTGGAAACCTTTGATATACTCCGATCGAGCATATCACATGTAAACAGTGATTCGTGTAGTGTAGATATTGTCCAGTCAACTGATGGTAGCGAGGTTCATTGTCCAGTGACAACTACGTACGAACGTACGCTGGTATCGTCATGAACTAATGTTGACATGTAAACAGTGACTCGTGTAGTGTAGATGTCCAGTCAACTGATGGTAGCGAGGTTCACTGTCCAGTGACACACGTACGCTGGTATCGTCATGAGCTAATGTTGACATGTAAACAGTGACTCGTGTAGTGTAGAGAAAGATTAATATTGTCCTATTTTTTTAGGAATTAAAGATTATGTTTTTTTTTTATTTTCAGCGTATGTGTCATTCGTGAGAACTGGACAAGAGAGGGGAATTTTGCCAACATCTGAATGCGACTATGCGCGCGTTGTCGGCGAGTTCTTCGGAGGCGCTTGTGCCCCCGGCGCCATTGATGCCTCTTTCGCTCTCTCTGATTCTTCCGTTAGTAAATTAAGTTTTATCTTTCTTAATTTTAATTATCTGGTGATCATCTCTCTCTCTATCTTAACTGCACGGTTGGTGCGGTGGCTGGACAACTGGCAGCCGTGCAACGTGTCGCGGGTTAGATTCCCGCACGGAACAACTCTTCGTGTGATCCACAAATTGTTGTTCCGGGTCTGTGTGTGATGTGTATGTGAACTTGTATGTTTGTAAACGTACACACGACACGGGAGACAATCCTAGTGTGGGGCAACGTTTAAAAAATACCTTAAACTGTCAAACACCGCGAGGACACCGGTGACCGCACCCTATTGTTCTTTAATTGTGTCTATAATGACGGTACTCAAAGAGTTAATAAGTTTTGTTCTGTTACAGAGTTTCAATTCATCCAGATTGTGCACAGCTTGCCGAGCTACGCCTGGTGTGGTCAACATCCCTGACCGTAAGTAGTTACATAATTTGTTTTAACATATTTATTCACTGCCTCATTGGCCGAGTGGTCGCAAGTGCGACTGCCGGGCAAGGGGTCTCGGGTTCGATTCCCGGGTCGGGCAAAGTATTACTGGGTTTTTAAAAATCTCAGTAGTAGCACGGAGTCTGGAAAAATGTGCCCGGTATATGGCAATAGACTCACCCCCTATTACATGGGACCCATAACATAAATAGTGAAAAGTGGGTGTTACATTGTACAGTGGCATTAAGTGCCGAAATGTGCACCTCTGCCTACCCCTTTGAGGATAAAAGGCGTGATGTTATGTTATGTTATGTTATGAACTTTTACATAGGTGTGGCCTTAAATCTAAACTCGCCAAACTTCAACGTTTGATGGCAAGAAAAGATTTGTTTTGCTGTAAAATTAATTGTACTGTACCCTTCAATTCAGATCTGATTCAATTTTATGTAATACTAGCTTTTACCCGCGGCTTCGCTCGCGTCACAAAAGGATAAAAAGTAGCCTATGTGACATATACCAATACACACAGCGCCATCTATACCAATACTATTGTTTTTCCTCGGGAATATCAAATTTCTCCGGGTTAAAAAGTACCCTATTATTTAATCCGGACTTCTAACTTTACGTCTGCAAAAATTCAAAGCAATCGGTTTAGTAGTTACGGCGTGAAAGTGGAACAAACAAACAAACAAACAAACTCACTTTCCGATTTATAATATTAGTAAGGATAAGGATTTATAACATTTGAATTATTTTCCAGCTGTCTGCACCTGGGACTTCACCACAAACCGCTACTTCGGTAACAATGGCACCATCGCCTGCTTGGCTGATGCAACCAATGATGTGGCTTTCTTAAACATCAGGAATATGCGAAGTAAGTGTCATTTTTATATATATTTGTTGGTCCGACGTTTGACCACTATCTCGTCTGGTGGTAAGCGATGATGCGGTCTACGATGGAGCACGTCGTCCCATAAGCAACCTATTCACTCGGGCCTTGAAGACACCCTTCAGGAAATAATACAGACTCTGGCAAAGAATTCCACTCCTTAGCAGTACGCACAAGGAAGCTTGATGGTGGCCCTATTGTGAACCTCTCGTTCTTCGTCCAAATCCAATAGGGAGTTAGTGTCACACCAATGGTTGGACAAACAATTCAATCCCAGAATAGAAACAAGCAGATGGATCACCTGATGGTAAGCAAAGCAATCAGCGCCGCCGCCAACCCGCGACACCAGAGGCGTTACCGGCCTTTTTGGGGATTTGGCAGATTGCTCTTGCTTAAAATTATTATTTGACGTATTCTTAACATTATATCCGTTGCTTCCAGGCTACATACAGTCCCTTCAACTTCAAGAAAACCAGTTCCGTGCTCTCTGTTACAACAACTCCCTCGCCACGCGCACTGGTATTGACATCGATGATGGCTGCCTCCTGGCTCATGTTTACGACAGCGAGATCGTTGCTAGAAGGTTAGTAGTTTAATGTAGTTTAACTATTGGGATGATGACAGGGTACGAAAATTAAAAATCTAATTAGTCCGTAAGTTAGGTAATGAAAAAATATTAGACACGTATTTTGTTATTTTTTCGTATTAAGTTGCAATACTTAGATAAAATGGCGCTAAGATTCGGAGTGGGGGCTAAAACGTCATTTCTACATATAAAATGTACATAGAAATGACGTCACGCGACATTTCAAATTAACATGTAGTCAAAAGTATTCGTTTCTGTAAAAAAATAATGAATACGTGTCTAATGATTTAAAATAATCTACCAGACGGACATTAAAATAAAAATTAGGCATCTACCCTATTCGTTTGAACAAACAAGCTCGGTAATCTTCGGTACTTTTTATTCTATTTTTAAGTTTAAAAAAAATATGGAAATAATCACATGAAACACTAGACGTAAATTTGTAAGCACTATTCGCATCATATGTACCACCTGACGAGAAATACTTCTTCTAGAATGACATGGCGTGATGTTTTGATAATGCACCTACTATGAGTTCGTATGCGCTTTCAAAGTTTAGTTCTTGCGAATGTTTCACCAGTTATTTTTATTTCTTTGTAAAACTATTGTATTACCGACACAGAATCATTTTACTTCGGGACGAAAACGAAGTAGATTTCACGGTGTAGAAGACTTATGCACTGTGTCTAATTAATAAGGACAATAATGATAAAAAACTCATTCTCAATTTTCAGAAGCGACCCATACTACAACAGTTTGAGCACACTCTTCGACACCCTCGACGCATACTTCGGATACTTAGCAGCGAATGGAAACCAGCTTATCAACATAGAACTATACTCACCCTTCAACAGAGTCTCTCACTTATTATTCAGAGACACCGCCATTGGTCTTGCTGAACCTATCAGAAACCCAGACCTTGAGCTGGCCAATAACTATATGAACCTCGTCAGCCACTTACAATCTTGCACGGGCACCACACCTCCCGTGCCTGGGCATGCAAACCGAAGCGTGTACTCCATAATAACCTTGTTCGTCATGGCTCTAATGACAAGATTCGTTGTCTATTAAACCATTTCCAGTGCGTATCCGAACGCACTCTTTTAGTTTTAAGTTTTTGACATTGACAGTTGTTTTGGCGGGAATTGTTTTTTTTTTGTGTGAATATTATGTTCTTTACAATTGAATGTTTTTGATTTTATGATTTTCCATATAACGTTGTGCATATTTACAGAATTTAACGTACTTATTATTTTTATTTTCCTAACAGTATTCAATTAACATCACATTAGTTAAATACCTAATTAGGTAAGTATTTAAACAATATTTTTATGCAATAAAGATTTTTTTTAACTTTAGATAAGGCTATTTTATTGTAATTTGGAAACAAAAGATATATTTTTGTAGCTGATATCCTCCGATTTTTTCATTAATATTGTATGTATGTATAACAATGTAGGTAGAATAGTAAAATATAACTTAGATTAAGCTACACCGTTACCATTGTACTTTATTTGTATTTTTTGTGAATAAAATTAAACTTTTTTACTAAAAATATGCGTTGTTTATTGTACACATTGTCACCACCCTTACTCTTCTTCTAATTACTACTTCGACTAATGGACTACACATTTGACACAGCCAGTGTTGCCACCCGTACTTTATAAGTAATAAAGTATTGTACATTATTTAAGGTAATTGTACCTACTCTATACTTTATAAGAATAATAAAGTACACGTAAATACTTTATATTTGCAAACTTAATTTCTATTAAAGTCGTTAGTATTTTTCGGTAAACTTATCGAATCGATATTGATTTAATGATTTATGTTGAATCTTTTTCGCCACTCGCCAGCGCCACTTACACAATTTCTAGTAAACATGCAATTGTTTAGTAAAGGTACTAATTTAATACAAACTGCAAAAAGCAATAAAAAATATATTTTTAAATATAATACTAAATAAGAATAAATTGTACTTTATTTTTGTACTGTGTACTTTTTTTCTTACTTATAATCGTCAATGTACAATACCAAAATAAAGGTGGCAACCCTAGACAGAGCCCTAGCAGCAACGCTCTTTGATAAACCTGAACCTTTTATACTGTGGCCTCCAACGGCTCTGATGAATATGACAAACCCCTCTTATGTAGGGCAGGTCCAGCAGTTTTTTCAACATCCTTGCCTTGAATAATCAATTCTTGACAGCCATTGATTGGACTAAATAGGACTTGATTCTACTTGAACCAAACCTGGAGAGCAAAAAACGGTTTTACAGACAAAAAATCTTATATCTTATACTATTACTAGCGACCCACCCCGGCTTCGCACGGGTGCAATATGCATGTATTATACATATAAACCTTTCACTTGAATCACTCCATCTATTAAAAAAACCGCATCAAAATCCGTTGCGTAGTTTCAAAGATTTAAGCATACAAAGGGACATAGGGACAGAGAAAGCGACTTTGTTTTATACTATGTAGTGATATAAAGCGGAAGAGTTTGTTTTTTTGTTTGATTGTTTGAACGCGCTAATCTCCGTAACTACAAGTCTGATTTGAATAATTATTTTTGTGTTGGATAGCCCATTTATCGAGGATGGCTATAAAACATACTTTTTTAAAAAGAGTAACGAATGGAGTTTCTTGCTCGATCTTCTCCATTCGAATCTACATTTTGGAATGAGCACCTAGCTTCACCTAGCTTCACTGACGGACTGACTGACAGACTATTATTTATTTTGTATTTGTTGACGTTTCAAAAGTACCAAATTATGGTTTAATTGATATAAATGCTTTGACTGCCTCGTTGGCCGAGTGGTCGTAAGTGCGACTGCCGGACAAGGGGTCTCGGGTTCGATTCCCGGGTCGGGCAAAGTATTACTGGGTTTTTTAAATATTCTCAGTAGTAGCACGGAGTCTGGAATTGTGCCCGGTATATGGCAATAGGCTCACCCCCTATTACATGGGACTCATAACATAAATAGTGAAATGTGGGTGTTACATTGTACAGTGGTATAATGTGCACCTCTGCCTACCCCTTCGGGGATAAAAAGGCGTGATGTTATGTTATGTGTTATGCTTTGACTTTGATTACGCTACGACCAAAAGGAGCTGAGCAGAGCGTGTGAAATCGCGCGGAAGTAGCTAGCGAGTTATAAAATTACTAAAAATCGACTAAAAAACACGCTCTAAAAAGCATCAAACAAGAAAATTATCTCAGAGGTTAGCCGTGGTCGTGATTCGTCTGCCAATATTATGCACTGTAGCGCCATGTGTTATTTAGGGGTATAAGTAAAAATAATTAAAATATTAAATATCCTGCCTCATTAGCCGAGTGGTCGCAAGTGCGACTGCCGGAAAGGGTTCGATTCCCGGTGGAACCGTAAAATGGATACTGTATTAATTTTCTCGTGGATAATACATAAATCATTGTAATTTAAAATCTATATGATTAGGAATTTTTTCTATATATTTCTGATGAGTGTCGGAAGCTTAACAATCACTAGGTGCTATTTGATCGTCGACTTCAAGAATACCATGTATATCTATATATATAAAAGAAAGTCGTGTTAGTTACACCACTTATAACTCAAGAACGGCAGAATAGATTTGGCTGAAAATTGGTATGGAGGTAGCTTAGAGCCAGGAGACCGACATAGCATACTTTCAATCAATACTTTTTTTTACTTTTTACCGAAAGTCACGAACGGGGACGGGAAAAAATGGGATTACGCGTACGAAGTCGCGGGCAGAAGCTAGTATATATATATATTTGAAATGTGCAAGTTACTTGCGAATTGATTCACATAACGCAAGTTCTTGCGATGCGTAGAGGGAGCTCGCACATTTTTGCGATGCGACGTCGCATCGCAGTTTTGTGTACGAGCCCTATAACCAGTAGTTTAGGAGTTAGGAGTAGTAGTAGGTTACATACCTACATACATACGGGTCAAAATCATGAGGTATTCCACGAAGCGCACCTAAAGTATTCCACTTAGCGCACCTGTAGGTGTGTTACGTATCGGTGCCGACACATGTACCTACACCGTGATCAGCTGTGTCGCCAGGCCCAGATCTGCTGAATCAGGACATTACACCTACTTTGATACAACGACGAGGTTAAATCTAGTGCGGTGAACAATGATGCAGCGATTCGTAGCTGGGCACAAGGCGGTGACAAGAGGAGACGACTCAGCAGTTCGAATGTTGCAATACTCCGTAGAACCTTCGTTGCATCAAAGTAGGTGTAATGTCCTGATTCAGCAGATCTGGGCCTGGCGACACAGCTGATCACGGTGTAGGTACATGTGTCGGCACCGATACGTAACACACCTACAGGTGCGCTAAGTGGAATACTTTAGGTGCGCTTCGTCTGGGTGCGCTTCGTTTAGGTGCACTTCGTGGAATACCTCAAAATCATAACCCACCTTTTGATTTCGCCGTAGTCGGGTAAAAGTGAAAAAAAAAACAAAATATAGGTACCACATTTTTTTATTTCATACAATATTTATAAAATACGTCTAGATTTTTTTAATAAGTTACAGATAATATAGTAGTCTATTTAAAAAGCGTTTTTGACGCTATTTTGAAAAAAATATACCGTGGTTAAGTTATATAACTTTGATACTTTCATCTCTTTCTTGCCCTGCATAAAATATAGAAATAGCGATAGGTGAAATAAATTTCGACATTTGAAACTATAGCTGTCCTTTTCTAACTAATAATGAGAGAAAGAGATCCTATTTTTACCCGACTGCCAAAGAAGGAGGGTAATTTAATATTTTTTAATCAAAATGAATTTGTCTTATTGAATGAATACGGGAATGCAGGACTAGTTTCAGTGCAGAATTATGAGCCTCGGTATCGCTCGAAAGTAGTCCGGCTTCTTCGTAAATATGACCTATGTAGCACCTATGGATTCTAATTTTATATATATGTTACCCTCTGTGCTGTTTGTGTGTACATAATCTTATACTATTATATAAAGCGGAAGAGTTTGTTTTTTGATTGTTTGTTTGAACGTGCTAATCTCCGTAACTACAAGTCTGATTTAAATAATTATTTTTGTGTTGGATAGCGCATTTATCGAGGATGGCTATAGGCTATAAAACATCGCGCTACGACCAATAGGACTGAGCAGAGCGTGTGAAACCGCGCAGAAGTAGCTAGTTATTAAATAAATATGATTTAAATGTAATAATTCATTATTCCTTTACATTCTAGTTAAACTGTCAAACACCGCGAGGACACCGGTGACCGCAACCTATTGTTCTTTAATGGGGATGATGACAGGGTATGAAAATTAAAAATATAATTAGTCCGTAAGTTAGGTAATAAAAAAATATTAGACACGTATTTTTTTATTTTGTCCTATAATAAAACAATACTTAGATAAAACGAATCAAAGTTTAGGAGTGGGGGCTAAAACGTCATTTCTTAGTATAAAATGTACTGAGAAGTGACGTCACGCGACATTTCAAATCAATATATCTTCGAAACTATTCGTTTCTGTGACAAAAGAAAAAATACGTGTCTAATGTTTTTAAATAATCTACCAGACGGACATTAAAATAAAAATTAGTCGTCTACCCTATTGTGTCTATAATGACGGTACTCAACGAGTTAAGAGTCATTGAACAAACAAAACAACGAATTCTATGAAACATTTAAAAAAATCCTAATATTCGCCATCTTTCTCCCATTAAACAGTTAGAAAATGATCTTATAGAAATCATAATTTTTACTTTTACAGCTATCGGCCGTACTCAATTGTTTTTTCGAAAACAATAGGGTAGACGACTAGTTTTTATTTCAATGTCCGTCTGGTAGATTATTTTAAAGCATTAGACACGTATTTTTTATTTTCTTACAGAAACGAATACTTTCGACGATATATTGATTTGAATTATCACGAGACGTCACTTCTATGTACGTTTTATACGTAGATTTTTTATTTATTTTGTCGTATAATAAAACAATACTTAGACAAAACGAATCAAAGTTTAGGAGTGGGGGCTAAAACGTCATTTCTACGTATAAAATGTACATAGAAGTGACGTCACGCGA